ACATTTTTTAAACATTTTTTGTTTTTCAAATCATGTAATAAAACGTTTGTGCAGAACAAAATGTCACATGTTATGAACATGATTGTGGGTTAATCGTTTCTTAAATTTCTAAATGTTTATAAGAATGCTAAGAATAATTTAGTATTCACTTTAGTGTGTGTATTATCTCTACAATGCTAGTATAAATGACAATTATTGTATGACGAAGCATAGGTAGTGTTTATAGATGTAATATTTTCATACAAGGTCATGATCTGTCACGATCAACTTTAAGCAAGAACTGCTATAGTTAAGAAACAAATTTATTAAATTTAATTCAAATTGTCTACTATGTTTGTAATGGAAAGCTGACATGTTTATATTTCGCACAAATGACTTAAGTGACATTGAATGATTTGATTATCTAGACTTAATTAACTTTTAGATAACTTTCGATTTAATGTTATTAAGTACTCTAGTAGGATTAATCTAGAGGAGTTATTGTTATTCGAAATTTTATACAATTGTACGTTCATACTATCTTTTAACAGTAAATTGTTTGTAATATAGGGAAATTAAATAGCTTACAGAGAATTACAGCTTTTTATTTAAAAAAACTGTTTTCTCTCTGTATGAAAAGGTCTTATCGATTAGAATGCTGAACACAATCAAACGTTCTTTAATATTTCATAAGTACTACCGGGAATTTCAGCGATTCTAAACGATAAGATTTTTTCATAAAGAGAGTTATTAAAAATATTAAAATTACTAAAAAAGCCACCTGGTGGGGGGTAGGGAGACTAATAATCGATCGTAGCGACGCCTGCTGGACCGGGCTTTAACTAAAGCAAAAATAAAAATGAGAGTTGCGCATCTATCTCGTATATATTAAGTGTATAATCTATGATCAACACTATTGATTATCGAAGGTTTATTGTCAAACTTTTGTTATTGTTTAGTCTGTGGTCAAATTCAGAATAGATTAATATTGTTTGTCTTCAATATTATTTATCTATAGTTTAGCCTTGGTGAAATTTGTTATTAAAGAGATCTTTGACAATAGACCTTTAATAATGTTCAATAAGTTTGAATTTAAATTAATTATAGTCGATTTTCGATTACCGGGCGACCACTAGTTCATAGATAACGGCACTACTGTAGAGAGAGAATACACGCGTGTACACATAGGTGATGATGAGATCAAATGCAAAAGTACCTATGACAAGCTTAGTGTTGATTGAAATGGTATTTTTTTTATTGCTTTTGTAGGAAGACCAGCATACGGCCGACCCGATGGTGAGTGGTTACCATCGCTCAAGGACGTCAGAAATGCCAAGGGCAGAGCCAATCCACTGTCAACAAATCTTCGTGCTTCTTTCTGTTCAAAGTCATAAGGTCCCAATGATATAAGCGAAAACTGCCTAATCATTTTTTTTTTCATTATCTTTAGAGTGTATTTATAGTACATATTATGGATATATAAATGAACTTTATATGAATTGTTCTTCACAATAAGAAGCCGGTTGATAACCATATATTGACACTTGTGACGGCACATACATATGTATATGTAGATCGACCGTGCTGAGTTTATTAGTTGATTTAACGATATAGACATATTTTAGGTACAATGCTTACATTGGTGGACGAGCTCATTGGCCAACTGGTGTTAAGTGGTCACCGGAGTTCTTAGACATCAATAACGTAAAGCCACCACCCAAATTAAGACACGAGTCCTGAGTATCAGTATTATAGTACAACGACTGCCCTACCCTACAAACTGAAACGCATTACTGCTTCACGGCAGAAATAGACAGGGCGGTGGTATCTACCCTACCACTAGTAATTACGCAAATTATAATTTTGATTTCTATTATACGTTGTTATTCCTTCACCGTAAAAATCAATCGTGAATAATGAGTACGTATTTCATTAGAAATAATTGATAACTAATTTGGTAACTTGGGCGCCTTAACCTTTAGGCCACGACGCCTTCACTCAATCCATCTGTTATTTAGAGAATATCGACGTCGCCTACCTGGAGATAGAGTTCGAAGTCTTGTGCATTGTTAAGGCTGTCAATCCTTCGAACTGGAACACTTAGCCGTATATATAAATAGAAATAGATCGGATGGTGGTACCTGCCTTCTTTGTTAAATAAAACGCTAAACACGAGGCTAAAACGGATTGACAGGGATAATCAGACAACAGTCCAACGTGACGTAATCATGTAATTACTCTCGCACCTACAAAAGACCATTTCGTAATTATCAGCCAAAATAATACGGCAACTGGCCACGTAAGCCGAATAAAGAAATTAATACAAGATAATCTCACAGCCGAATCGGACTTCCAGACATCTTTTGTCACTACGTCTGACCTTTTCGGCTAATTAACAAGACTTATCATTATGATTAAAATTTAATAATATTTCAATAACTCCTATACCAACGCCAAGGCGAAGTCGGAGCACGTTGCCAGAATTGGCGAGCGACTGAATAGCTATCCCTCTGGGAGCCGTGCTTTCTGGTCGCTGGCTAAGGCTGCAGAAGGTAACTTCTGCAGGTCTAGCCTTCCACCACTGCGTAAGTCCAATGACAGTCGGGCTCATAGTGCGAAGGAGAAGGCTGACCTTCTGGTCAAGCTCTTTGCCTCATACTCGACTTTGGATGACGGAAGAGCCACGCCGCCCAACATCTCCCGGTGTGACAGCTCCATGCCTGAGATTCGCATCACACAGCGTGCGGTCAGACAGGAGCTTCGGTTTCTTGATGTCCATAAGTCGAGTGGGCCAGATTGCATCCCCGCAGTGGTTCTAAAAACATGCGCCCCTGAGTTGACACCCGCGCTAACGCGTCTATATCGCCTCTCGTACAATACCAACAGGGTTCCGTCTTCATGGAAGACTGCTCATGTCCACCCTATCCCCAAAAAGGGTGACCGGTCGGACCCCTCGAATTACAGACCTATCGCGATAACTTCCTTGCTTTCCAAGGTGATGGAGCGAATCATAAACATCCAACTTCTTAAGTATCTTGAGGATCGCCAGCTGATCAGTGACCGGCAGTACGGTTTCCGTCATGGTCGCTCAGCTGGCGATCTTCTTGTATACCTCACACATAAATGGGCTGAAGCCTTGGAAAGCAAGGGCGAGGCTCTCGCTGTGAGCCTTGACATCGCGAAGGCCTTCGACAGGGTCTGGCATAGGGCACTTCTATCGAAGCTTCCAGCATACGGGATCCCTGAGGGACTCTGCAAGTGGATCGCTAGCTTTTTGGATGGACGGAGCATCGCAGTTGTCGTCGACGGCTGCTGCTCCGATACCATGACCATCAACGCTGGTGTTCCACAAGGTTCGGTGCTCTCCCCCACGCTTTTCATACTGCATATCAATGACATGCTATCTATTGATGGCATGCATTGCTATGCGGATGACAGCACGGGGGATGCGCGATATATCGGCCATCAGAGTCTCTCTCGAAGCGTTGTACACGAGAGGCGATTAAAACTTGTGTCTGAAGTGGAGAACTCTCTGGGGCGGGTCTCCAAGTGGGGTGAACTGAATTCAGTTCAGTTCAACCCATTGAAGACACAGGTTTGCGCGTTCACTGCGAAGAAGGACCCTTTTGTCATGGCGCCGGAATTTCAAGGAGTATCCCTGCAGCTTTCCGCGAGTATCGGGATTCTGGGGGTCGATATTTCGAGCGATGTCCAGTTTCGGAGTCATTTGGAAGGTAAAGCCAAATTGGCCTCTAAAATGTTGGGAGTTCTCAACAGAGCGAAGCGGTATTTCACGCCTGGACAGAGACTTGCGCTTTATAAAGCGCAGGTCCGACCTCGCGTGGAGTACTGCTCTCACCTCTGGGCCGGGGCTCCCAAATACCAGCTACTTCCATTTGACTCCATACAGAAACGGGCTGTTCGGATGGTCGATAGTCCTGCTCTCGCGGATCGCTTGGAACCTCTGGGTCTACGGAGGGACTTCGGTTCTCTCTGTGTTTTATACCGCATGGTCCATGGGGAATGCTCTGAGGAATTATTCGAGATGATTCCCTCATCTCCTTTTTATCATCGCACCTCCCGCCATCGGAGCAGAGTTCATCCATATTATCTGGAACCGCTGCGTTCATCGACAGTGCGTTTCCAAAGATCTTTTTTGCCACGTACCATCCGGCTTTGGAATGAACTCCCCTCCACGGTGTTTTCCGAGCGCTATGACATGTCCTTCTTCAAACGAGGCTTGCGGAGAGTACTTTATGGTAGGCAGCGGCTTGGCTCTGCCCCTGGCATTGCTGACGTCCATGAGCGACGGTGACCACTTACCATCAGGTGGGCCGTATGCTCGTTCGTCTGCCTACAAAGGCAATAAAAAAAAAAAAAAAAAAAAATATATACACATACGGACTGGTACCTGAAATTAATGATCTTAATTTAATTTAATCGTACGAAACAGTTTCTTTTTTATGATTGAAGGATTACTGGTGGCCCGGAGGCCTTTACAGTTTCACCAGGACAGGTGGGCGAGCAAAAGCTCAGCCAGATGGGGTGGGATTTGCTAACAGCTTCCCGAGCGCCTCCGAAGGAGACCTAACAACTCAAGAGCAACTGCTTCGCAAATGAATCTACTACCGGATCGGAATCGCGACCCGCTCAGAAGATCCGGCGAGAAACGCAGCGGGCTGATGTATGAGTTAGGTTGCACGTCGACCTCTACGCAATAGTCTAATCAACTACTTTGTTAATATTGACGGCTTTGATCACCAGGCCATTATTTACCTAGCCTTTTTATTATTCTACTACCCATTATTTTTAGTTAGCTTTACAAGGTGGAGCCGTCTTCCCCGATTTAATAACGATACTTTCATACACTTTGCAGGTGTCAATGGACCGGCCGCACTGGAATTCATTTGGAGAGGTCTATATTCAACAGTGAACAGTCATAGGATGAGATGTAGCTCTCATATATTATAATATTTTTCGAACTCGACTTGCATAACAAACATTCATGTAGCAAAACTCACCGCAGCTTGAAGTGTAGATCGCCGAGTCTTCCATCATTGGTTTCCGGTTCGGTTGGTTTGGTCTTTTCAGTGGCGTGGACGTCGGCAAGCTCCTTGCTCAGCGGAGTTGGCTCGGTGGGGGCAGTCGGGGTGTTTGGGCTGTTGCTTGCAGAGGACTGGTTGACAGACAGACGCAGATTAGATGGTTTGGCGAATTCTTAAATATTCAATTTACCTACTGTAAGTTTCTAACGAAGTAAAAAAACTGTCAATACATTTCGTTATTGCCTTTGATGACTCTTGAGGTTCGTGACGCGTTTGACGTAGTCGAACTTGTTTTTTTTTGTTGCTTACATGGTTGGACGAGGTCACAGCCCACCTGGTGTAAAGTGGTTACTGGAGCCCATAGACATCTACAATGTAAATGCCGCCACCCACCTTGAGATATGAGTTCTAAGGTCTCAGTATAGTTACAACGGCTGCCCCACCCTTCAAACCGAAACGCATTTCTGCTTCATGGCAGAAATAGGCGGGGCGGTGGTACCTACCCGTGCGAACTCACAAGAGGTTCTACCACCGGTAAAATAAAGTTAATAACAAACTCAAACCAGAACGCGGGTTTGCTTATTGGCGGTCATAGATAGGATGTTATTACCAACTCTAAAGAGCTACAATTCACGCTACCACATTTGGATGTAGTACAGAAACCTTCAAAACAGTGCCAAAGAAATCGGGCAGTAGCTAAGTTGAACGTCCAATTTTCTTACCGCCTTCTCGGATTTGACGGAATTCTGGGTTGGCGGTTGTGGCTGTGGGGGAGACGTAGCGGCTGGTGGCGCAGGAGCGGTCGGCGATGGAGACTTGCGCAGGTAATGGGTGGCAGAACCCGGGGAGCGGACGGCGGTGGCGCGTCGAGGGGGCTGGAACACCAGCGCTTTGTCCGGGCAACGCTTGCTTCCTGTCAATCAACAACGTAATTTAACCAAGATTAAACCAATCGAAGAACATACTAACCTAGATTTTTTTTTATCGCTTAGATGGGTGGACGAGCTCACAGCCCACCTGGTGTTAAGTGGTTACTGGAGCCCATAGACATCTACAACGTAAATGCACCACCTACTTTGAGATATAAGTTCTAAGGCCTCAGTATAGTTACAACGGCTGCCCCACCCTTCACACCGAAACGCATGCGGGGTGGTGGTACCTACCCGTGCGGACTCACAAGAGGTCCTACCACCAGTAATTATGCAAATTATCATTTTGCGGGTTTGATTTTTATTACACACGATGTTATTCCTTCACCGTGGAAGCCAATCGTGAACATTTGTTAAGTACGTATTTTATTAGAAAAATAGGTATCCGCCTGCGGGATTCGAATACCGTTGCATCGCCACATACGAATGCACCGGACGTCTTATCTGTTGGGCCACGACGACTTCAACTGTTACTGTAACTTAAGCGTGTAAAATAATTACTTGTATAATCAACTCACCCAGCTTATGAGAGAGGGAGCTCTTGAAGCGTACGATCCAGCAAGCAATGCCCACACATAAGGCCAGTAAGATAGTGCCCAAGACAACGGTCATCACCCATATGGTGTCAGTCTCCAATCCGCCCGCTGCAAACAAAAAAAAAATTCACTTACAAAGAAAACAGAAAAAAAGAATATTATTAAAGAATGCAAATTTCTTTAAACAAAATAACAAATGACTTAGACTAATCTATACTAATATTTTATATAAATCTACAGTGGTTTTTACGGATGTTTCGTTATAACTACTGAACCTGAACCATGCATCCGATTGACTTGAAACTTGGTATCCATGTAGAAAATACATGTACTTAATCCATAGGCTAATATTTATATGAGTATTGGACTCCCTAATAATAATGGCAATAAATACTAATGTTAATTTTAAATGCCCAGCGAAGCGGGCGAGTACGGCTAGTCTTATTACAAATATGCTGAAAATGCTGATATGTTACCACATCATTTTCATGAAAGCTCGAACGAAATTAATTAGATTAAATCGCAATAATGATTTAAAAAAAAACTAATTTCCTCAACGCATCTAAGAGAAACTGTGATATTACGTCGCAATCAGGAAGGAAACTTGCAAAGTTCTGTCTCAAATCTACACGCTCTTGAAATAGTGGCACGAATGATAAAATTTGGACGTGAGATTGCTTTTTTTTCTTTACTGATGCACAAAACAAATTACAACCATAGTAATTACAAGTTTAAATATTTAATATAACAAACTGGATTGCAATTCAAAACAGGCACATACAGAAAAAATATAACAACTGAACAGATGCCTTGTGGGTATATATTCATGGATATAGATACACACATACGCTCACACACACAGCCGCAGGCACACACACCCACACACATATGTAAGTTACTATCTAATTAAATTAAATCTAATGTATAATTAACTTGACAATATTCATTATTTGAGAATATGTTTAACAAATTTACAATATTTATAAAGACTATTTTTATAAATAGGTTTTTTTTATTGCCCTTGTGGGCAGACGAGCACACGGCCCACCTAATGGTGAGTGGTTACCGTCGCCCATGGACTTCAGCAATGCTAGGGGTAGAGCTGAGCCGCTGCCTGCCTAATAATATACTAATTATTATCGTATCATAATTTTGTTCCAAGATATTGTCGTTTGTATGCACGACATCACTCCAATCTACACGCTACCGATCCACTTGAAGCATTGCTATTTCAAACACGATTTCAAATCAGATTGTATTCGTGATGTGAATATCTGCATAGCTCTAAACGGCAACAGGGGGCAGTTTTTAGTATACAGGTTCTACAACACGGTAGATACATTTTTAGAAAGTTCCGCGTTGTGCGAAACCGTGTTATATGAGATTACAAGCCGACACAAAAAGGAGAGTATTTTTTCTGAATAAAACATCTCAACTATGCCTGTATGTATTTTTTACCTATTATAAGATATATAAATGATAAGCAGTAAAATTTATGTATTGTGTGTTCATAGTGCATAGTGCATAAGTGCATAGTGTTGTAGAAGTATCATGTAATTTTATTTTATTTTTCTTTTTTCCTACCTATGCTGAGCTTCCTATTCTGGATTGAGTTTCTATCCAAAGTTTTTTTCTGAGAACCTGTAACATGTTCATCTTCAAACGGACCTCGAACTGAGATATCAAGGGCAATGGCTTTTCTGTGCCCTTAGTATTCGTGATGTCCAAGAACGACGGTAACCATTCAATATCAGATGCAACGTAGCCTTTTTTTTCCTACCTAAGCTAATGGCCTAGAGAGACCATATCAGCGTAACCAACTAGTAGGTCAGCTCACGGGGCTCAAACCTGACGATGTTGCTAACATGAACCCTAGCAAGAGCCGTGCTTCACAGAATCTACCACCGGATCGGAAACGCGACCCACTGAGAAGATCCGGCGAGAAACTCAGTGAGCTGTGTCTATGGGCTAATTTACTCGCCGAGCCCATCGTCGCAAGCGACGGGATCGACGAGAACGATGACCGGTGCTTCAAGTACCTAAAAGCACCATTAGTGGTTCGGGAGGATCCGAAATGACGTGTTTTGGGCGACGTCGACTGTTTACCATTTGGTCCGCAGTATCGGCTATATAGTATCCGGCGGCCACGATGAGAGGATTCTCATATCGTGCCGCTTTATCGAAGTGGCACGTAGCCTCGTATGATTTTGAAGGCAATAAAAAAAGCTAAAAAATACTCGATACCGAATCCATAAGATTCAAGATAATTTTCAACCGATACGTATATATTTTACTTCACTGTTCCCCACAAACGCCAAAAATAGATAATAAAATTGTGAAAATATAATAGATAATAAAATTGCGATGCGGTCATTATATAACGAAAGTAGTATAATGTTCTACATTTACAAGCTCAATTAAAATTCAAACCGTAAAACAAAACGAACTTGTTAGTGATGACGTAATTTAAATTTGAAGCCGCAATATCAGAGATGCGGCCACGACGTTTCTCCTTCAAAGGAGACAATGTCACGACCTATAGACCGGTAAAGCCCGAGATTAGCTCTCTGCAAACAGACAAACGCGTGGACTCAGTGAAGCGGGGGAAGCGAATATTGACATTCGTAAATAAGGATATCGAATTATTTTAGAACTAGCGACCCGCCCTCGCTTCGCTTCGGAAACATTAAAACACACATGAAACCAAAAAAATAAAATAAGAAAAAATAAAAAAAAAGTAGCCTATGTTCATCAGGGACAATGTCGGCTTCTAATGGAAAAAGAATTTTTCAAATCGGTCCAGTAGTTTCGGAGCCTATTCGAAACAAACAAACAAACAAATCTTTCCTCTTTATAATATTAGTATAGATTAGCCCATTTTTTGTTTTGTTAATGTCTGTCTCGCTACTTCTGAAGTCCGCAGTATTTATATTAAATTGTCAGTGATTACGAAATAATAAAAAACCTGACGGTAATTTTAAATTCCGACTTGCATGTCAAGCTTCAAGTTTATGATCTGAAATTAGTTCAGAGTCATATGTTTAATCTTAACTAAAGGATTAAGAATGAAGACAATTTAAAAATAATAAAATTAAAATAAAGTCACACAAAGTGGCCAATAAAGTTTGTTTTAAGTGTAAGATACATATTCCAGAATTTTCTTATCAAAGATTTAATTTACATGCCGTTAATCATATATGGATCAATCGAGGATGCCTAAAGTCCAGGTATTTGAGGTAAAGGTCCGCGAATATGGGTCACAGACTCGCGTTGAATCTAGGTCGTTCATTTAGCGGTCATCAGAGTGGTAACGACATTACATTTGGTTAACTAACAATGACGAGGGGCAATATTTCAGTACAGTGTGTCAGATTTAGCAGCAGTTTTAAGGATTATCTTTATTTATTTATTTATTGTTAACATAGAAGTAGAAACACAATCATAATTTGTATCCGTGCTTGAACTAGGTGATAAAATCTGTATCTCAAGCAACAGTGCTCCTCGTACAAAGAATACAACAGCTTTACTTCAAATACACAAAAATAGACAAAAATTAAACTGAAATTCATAAAATTGCATAAAAGTGACAATATGTGAGCTTAAAAATATAACAATTAACAAAACATATAGAAATGATCAACTGAGTTTTGTATGCAGTAAAAATGTGATAGCCACGTTTAGTTGTTGATATTTGACAGCCCGCTCTTAAGTGAAACGTTCATAACGTCACCTACAACATAATATAGCTCACGGTATGTATTCATGAGAAATTAAATATTCAATACCCACTCGCCAACAATCTGCGAGCTGTGAAATATTTAATTATTTGTTAAATCCCTCATGATATTACAAATTACGCAGAAGCGTACTTAATATTCTCGGATCATACCTATTTACTTATTCACTACTCATTAATAGGTTGCAGGTTTTTACGTGTTGATATTCATCATCACAAGACATCAAGGCTGAACGGTAAACTTTGATTTAACATTTTTTTCTTATTTTCCCTTCTCTTTTTTAAGGAACAACCTATAATTCATCGGTAGTCTATGGTATATAGGAAAATATTTGTTCACAGATTTAGTTTAACTTTAATTACTTTGAAACGCTACTGTTTGTTTTCACAGTTCATTATTACAAAATGTTTACTAAGCTTATTAAAACATTCTTATCAAATTTCTTAAATAAACAAGGTTAATCAATAGATAGACATAAAAAAAATTGTATAATATGATATTTTAGAATACTGCAGATTATTTATCATAAGCGTTTCATCGAAAGGTAATGATTTAATTAATACAAAAACGACGGAGATAATAATGTTTTAGTTGTTTATGTAACCCTGAAACCAAACCGCTTAGAGATTACATTGTTACGCTAAAAGATACGCTATCCAGTCGTATTAGAACAGCGATTTCCACAATACAATGGGGCTACCATTTCAATCCGCAGAGCTGCGGCCATTGTGATAGCTTAAGCTCTCGGGAATATGTAACTTTCCTTACAATTTATTTTGTCTAAATGTCTGTATTCCTGTGAGTGGTTTATCCCGATAGAATCCTGAAAAGTAGGATTTACTTTTGATGAAGCAATATGTGTTATTTTTTATTGAAAAATTTTTTTAATGCATTGTTGCGAAGCTACTACCGCGGTTGGTAGTGGGGCAAAAGTATTTTAATCCCGCATAATATATATAGTATAGCAGATATGGCAAGCATTTGATGGAAAGTGGTCACCGTCACCCATGGACATCGGCAACACCCTGGGGTACAACCTCGCCACTGCCTGCTTTAAAACATCTTCTGGTCTGAAGAGGTACATGTAGACAATATCCGTGCGAATTCACAAGAGGTCCTACCAGTAATTACGAAAATTATAATTTTGCATGTTCGATTGTTATTACTCGATGTTATTCCTTCACCGTAGAAGACAGTCGTAAGCATTTATCAATTACGTATTTCATTAGAAAAATTGGTACTTGCTTATGGAATTCAAACACCGGTGCATCACAAGACACGAATGCACTGGACGTCTTAACCTTCAGGCGACTTAGGACGACTTCAGAATTCAAATTCAGATGCCAATTTCATAAAATGGATTATTCATCC